TATGGGCCCTTCGCCAGGATACTAACTATAACGTGTGTCTTGTCGGTTTTCGGTGACCGCTTTCGGAGCCAAGCGCTGTCGGAAAACAATTCAGGGTGACAAGTTGACCCTGGAGGCCTCGGAAGAGTTTTCCAGAGCTCTTACAACAAAACATGTGCAAAGATCGACATGCCCCAGGGCTCGATTCTCCCTTCCTCTTTTTCTGGGCTTCGCGGCCACACCTGCAAATGGCTCCCCCCCCCCAAAGGGAAGGGATTCTGGCTGTTCTCTCTCTCTCTCTTTCTCGCTCCTCTCCCTACTACTCTTCCTTTACGGCCTGTTCTAGCATGGTGGAGTCTCCTTCTCATCAGCTGGGAAGCTGGGAACTGGCCGTTGTTAGCATCAGGGGGGGGCTTCCCGCTGAGAGGTGGCCATTGGAGGGAGGCACTTGGCCTCTTCTCGCAGCTCCGGCGGCAGGGTCGCACCGGCAAGCTGACCTATAGCACGGCGCTCGGCGTGTGCGAGGACTGGAAGACGACGGTGACGACGACGACGGCGATGACCTTGGCGACTACGAGCATCGAGGATCGATGTTTTTTTATTTATGTTTGGGACATTGCTGGGCCTCTGGAGGCTTCGGCAGATGCTTCGGGATGCCTGGTCCAGGGACCTCCAGAGACTCCAGAGACCGACGACGACCACCACGACGACAGCGGCGGCGGCAACGACCACGAGGACATTGGCGAGTAACAACGGTGATCAAGACGCCCACGACTGCTCGTCGTGGTCGTCTTGGTCGTCGTGTTAATCGTGGTCGTCTTGGTCGTCGTGGTCATCTTGGTCGTCGTAGTCACGACGAGGACGACTACAACGACTGCAACGTCGGCGGCGACGACGACAAAAGAAGGGAGGATGCGGACGACGACGAGCAGCCCCTCCTCTTCCCCCCCCGTGTACCCTCCTCACTCGGATGAAGACGGTACGGAGGGAGGTTCTTCAGCATGCGGGTTGAGGGAAGAGGGCGAGGGGAAGGACGGCCAGGAGGGGGAGGAGCGCCGCAGGAAGAGGACGGAGAAGGGTAAGCAGAGGGATGAGGGACATTTGGGATAACCAGAAGGTGGAGGAGAAGGAGGAGGAGGAGGAACCAGGAGGGGGAGTAAAAGCAGGCAGAGTGGGGCAGAAGCGGATTCACATCAGGAGGGGATTGGCGAGGAGGCGAGGAGGAGCAGGAGGGTAAGCGAGGGTGGAGGTGGGCAGGCTGGGAGAGATGGAGGAGGAGGAGGAGGAGGAGGAGGAGGAGGAGGAGGAGGAGGAGGAGGAGGAGGAGGACGAGGAGGAAGCGGATGAGGAGGAGGCGGAGGAGGAGGAGCGAGAGGAAATTAGCAAATTGATGATAAGGAGGGGGAGGAGGCGGAGGCGGAGGAGGAGGAGAGGGAGGAGGAGGAGGAGGAGGAGGAGGAGGAGGAGGAGGAGGAGGAGGAGGAGAAGAGACGAGGAGGATAAACATCACTAGTTGCCAATCGATGTGAAAGGGGCAGGGGAGATGTCAGCAGTTGTGCTGATGTTTCTTCTTTCAGCAACTTGGGTGGGTCGCGGGTAGGTGCTGATGAGGGAGTGGGAAGAGGAGGAGAAGGAGGAGGCGAAGGAGGAGGAGGAGGAGACAGCCGTAGCCATTCTGACTCAAGGTTCTAAGGTTCCCCAGGGAACCAGGTGGACACTGCTGCTCCGCGGCTTACAGTTATCCTTTCGCCAGGTCCGCCCCTGGCCGGGGAGTCCAGCTGGCCCGCCTTGGCTGCGGCGTCTTGGCTGCCCAGCAGGAAACCAGAGGAGCAGGCTCACGGGGCTTTCAGGAACTGCAGCGCTTGAAACAATGGGGCGACAGCGGCGTGATTCCACCGTGGCACGCGGAGCCCGGCTGGAGACAAACCTGCAAACCAGCGCCCCGAGGGCCCCCAGGGCGCGCTTGGTTAGGGAGGAGCCGCGTGGACGCGTACGACGAGGGGGGAAGGTTTCTCTAAAGAGTTTTGGTCTCGGTGCGATTGGTACCACAGCTATTGGAACCAGAATCCGCCTCTCATAGAAGGGGAGAAGGAGCACAGGGTCACCATGGAAGGAACATCCTTCGAAGTCATGCATGTGCGGTTGACTCAGCGCCGGGGGGTCAACATCAATCAGCAAAGGAGATGGCGCGCGGCAGGGCTGAAAGGTGGGGGGGATGACGGCGTGCCTGAGAAAGCCATGAACTTCAAAGAGAGTCGTTGGATCTCCAGGCGAACGAACAGAAGCTCATGGTTTCAGCAGGGAGGACCTTTGCAGCTGTTAGACAGGCTGCAGAGCAAATTAAAGCAGCCAAGAGAGAGTTGAACGAGGCCCGCGGAGGGAGGGGCGGGATGCTGCACAAGGCCAAGAGGGACGGAGGGACAAGCCTGAGCTGGACTCACAGGAGCTCGAGGAGACTTTCGACAGGACAATGCTACCCGCGACCTGGCTAGCCCAAGGAAACCCTGTAGATGGACGACCAGCTACCCAGCCCCACCAGAGGCACCACTGCCGGTAGGAGCAGGATGAGATCGAGGTGCAGCCCAGCAGGCGGTTGCGCCACCGGCAGACGCAGCGGGAGGCGCCCTTGGCGATAATGATGATGGCCTGAGTACCCGTGGCAGCAGGGATCTCGTCGACGCAAAGTGGGCCAGGTTGCGAGCAGCAAACCTCGACCACAGCAGCAGTTTTGACGACAGTATGGGAAGTGCGAGGAATGCCAGAGCAGCACCGGGTGCCTTGACGGTGTCGGGAACCACAAGTAATACATTCACCTCTTTGGAGAAGGTTGGGACTTCCCAAAGTAAGGAATCCGCCGCAGGCTAGGGTTCGAGTGAGCCCCAGTACCGCGGTTCAGGACCCCGCTGGGAGGAGTCGGCTGGAAGGGAGGGAGAGATCGCCACAAGAAGCAGTAGTCGGCAGGAGGTGGGACTTTGCCAGGCGTTGGGGGCACCCGCGCAATTGCTCTAGCAGAGTAGGTGGGTGTTGTTGCCCACCATGTGTCTTGGAGGGGGAAGGCGATGGTGTCCGTGGTGGCAGTGATGACAGGGCGTTTGCTCGAGCAGTGCCATCACATGGAGATGACGGTCTTCGCGCATGTGTGGACGAGTACGCTGAGAGAGTGTGGAATATATTGAATGGCACCGCTTGGCGGTTATTTGCGCGCGTGTCGAGCAGCGAGTTAGCTGGTGGCAGTGCTGGCAGTGCGATCAGTGGGGAGGGCCATGGATCCCTAGGATATGGAAATCAATGTCATGCCTCTGGCGGTGCATACGCTGACAGGGCGTGGAAAGGTTTCACCCGGCTCTCGCGCAGGATGGGCGATGACAGCAAACTCCCCGAGGCAGAGGGTACGCGCCCGCAAGATGAGGCCAAAACGCTGCCCTCCTCGGGACCCGAGTGGCCACGCCCAGGCATGATTGTTGGAGATCAGTGTCTCGCGGGGATGAGCTGAAAAGCAGCAGCATCAACCCGAGGACAGGGGGCGATGCCCAGGGCAATCATCCTCAGCACGTCTCTGCTGGTAAGCGGAATCGCACTTGGCGTTTACCCTGGAAGATGGCGGCGTCGTTGCCAGGTACGCGAGGCAACAGCAGCTGTCGGAGGCAGGCCAGATCACAGTGGCCCAGCCGCGCAACACGACGGTCTTCTATTCGAAGTATTCTGCAAATTCAACATCGCGGGGTGACGAGGTCACGGACTATATCGAAGACGCCCACGGCGAATCACCGCCGCCCCCTGTCTTTTGAAATCTCTAATGTTGCCGAGCGTTGTGGCAAGAACTCTGCCAAGCTATCGGACCATGTGTTCTCCCAGCCGTTGTGGAAACCCTTCTGGGAATACTTGGATGGCGGGGAAGATCAGGATGAGGAGGAGGAGGAGCCAACGCCATAGCAGATGAACTCGCTGAAGAGGCTGCGAGGTCGGCCCAACTCCCAGGACGGGCCATTGCATAACTTGCGGAGTCTGACGAGAAAGAATTTGCCTTGCAGGAACACCTCTCTTGATTTTGCCAACGCTGCCCAGTTGCATGGGCACAGTAGCTGTGAAGACCGTCGGGTGGAGGCCAGGCGAGAGAAGCTGGCCGAGACGGGGGTCACCCAGAGCTTGCTCCAGGAAGCCAGGCACGGGGTCACTGCGGTACCTCGCACAGCTCTCAAATGCAGCGCGTGTCCCGAGCCGCCCCCCAAGGGGCCTCGGGGACCAGAGGCCTCGGCACGACTGCATCGGCCTCCCGAGCAGCTCAGAATTCATTCCAGAAGCTCAGAGGAGGAAAAGGTACCCATACCTCTACCCTCCCCTCGTTTTCCCCTTTTCGGGCCTCCTCGGAGGCCCTCGTCGCCACCGTTGAATTCGCCTCGAGATCTTGGTCAGAACGCACCCCCGGAGAGGTCAGGGGAGTAGCGGTGTCGATACCTTTGGGTCTCCCCAGAAATTGTTCAGACCCTGCGCTAGTCAAGCTCGTGTTCACGGGCGGAGAGTCTCCAACGCCTTGGAAAGGGAAAACCTTGCTGAAGGACATCCACTGGTGGCCCGAATCCGAGCCGCATTTCGAGCTCCCACCTCCAGCGGCCTACTTTTGAGTGTGCGTTTGGGGTGGTGGTCCTGTCGCTGGCCTCTGCCTGGGTGATGGAAGTTTTGGTTGGGTGGCACAAAGGTCGCGTGGATGGGCCATCCCCTCGACTTACCATGTGGGGCTCGTCATTGGACCTCACCCCCTGGTGAGGCAAGGGGCAAGAAGAGGATAATGACTGAACCAGAAAAGGGGGTGAGTAGTGAGCAGCAGGAGAGGGGAGCAGGATGGATGAGGTGGATGCTAGGAGGACGAGGATATGGGGGAGCAGGGGGGCGGGATGGAGGAAGGCCGAGCAGGCAGATGCCATCGAGTCCTCCGCCGAAGGAGTCTGGGCGCTGGGAGAGCGCGATCCGGCTTCTCCACCTCATGGACAGACAGCAGCTCGCCATGGACTCCGTGACCTGCCAGCAGGCGGTCGCAGTGTGCCAGAAGGCACCAGACGGGGCTCGAGTTGCAGCACTGTGCGCCCCCTGTCGGAGACGAGCGCACGGAGCTCCGCGCGGACTTCCCGTGTCGGCACCTCGGCCCCCGTGACGGAGCTCTTGGCGCCACCCCTGGGGCGCTCCGCGCACCAGAGAGGGGGCCCCAGCGCAGATCCAAGAGATCTGCGCGGACCTCCGAACGTTTGTTTCTATGCGGTGTTCCTTCCAGTCCGATCAGCCACGGAACCCAGAGCGTCCACGGTCCGGTCGGTTGGGCTGCGTCGCAGTCGGTCGCGTTGCGGTCGGTTCAGTTTGGTCGGTTGTTGTGTCCTTGTTGCGTCGGTGCGCTTTTCTGGATTGCTTCTGGTCTGTTGGTTTCGGTTTCGCTGTCAGTTCCGTCGGGTTCCGGTCATGCTGTCGCCGCGGACGGCCTGATGAGCGTCTGGCAGCCTCAGCATATTGACGCAGTGGTTCGATCTTCCCTTATTCTTTTGGAACTCCAGCGGGGGACCTCCTCGCAGCGGCTGGGTTCGCCTCGGGATAAACGAGCAACAGGACAGGTGCTCATAGGTTTGCCGGAGCGCTCTGAATGCGTCTCCTCCATCCGCTGGGCCGCAGGGCCCCCCCGAGATATCCGTAGATGTCAGTTGTTGTTCGTGTCCTGCCCGCGTTTCAGATCTCGGCGCATGGGCGCCCCAGCCTGCCACAAGTCGCTGATACGCCAAATTCAGATTCGTTTGCCGACCAACCAACTCGGTGTGTTCCTGGCATCCGACGTCGTGAAAAGCCAAAGCGTTGCTACATCATTTCGGGACTCCTTGATCGGGATCGCTCCGTGAGGGTCCTGGGGCTTGAAACGTGGCAACAACAATGCTTCGTTCAGTTTTTGGGAGAGATGTCCGCCGTCAAATTTTAGCGTTGCCCGCTCAGATTCGGGGATACTCCGGGGAGGTCCACAGGTGTCCTTGGAGGTCCCCATAGGAGGCTGTGAGTCCATGAGAGGTCCACAGCAGGGGTACACTAATGATCGAAAGCTCGCGATATCCTCGATCCTTGATGCTGGTGTTTTGCAGGAAGTTGTTCGCCCGACGTGTGCCTCGCTGGGCTGCTTGGTCGCTGGAGATTTGTTTCCACGCCTCGTTTGCTCTGTTCCACGCTCACGGGCAGGTTGCGTTTCTTTATTTGACACCCGGAAGCATATCCTTAACCCCATGGTTTGCATCACCTTATCTCGGTGCCAATCTTAAGGATTTTCTCACTTTCTGAGGACGCATACCCAATGCCATTGCATTGGGCCTGTCAGTCGTAGGGATGGGGACCAGGCTCGAGGCAGGTTCTGCAGGTTCCACCTCGCTGGCAAGATCAGGAGTGCCCTCGGTCCTCGGTCAGCAGCCCAGTCCTCCCAATCGAAGAAGAAGAAGAACAATGCATACACGCAGACTTTCGGAGCACCGCGCGGATTTGTCAGAGCGGCGCTGGAACTCCCCTGGCGGCGCCTCCGCGTGCCAGGGAGGGGGTCCAGTGCCGATCCAAGAAGTCTACGCGGACCTCCGAAAGTCTATGGCTTGGTAGTTCGTTTGTCTCTCCACCCAAGGCCGGGCGGTGGGAGCACGCGATCCAGCTCCTCGGCCTGATGGACCAGCAAAAGGTGCCCCTGGACGCCGTGACCTGCGGTCGCGTGGTCGCCGCGTGCCAGCAGGCGAGGCAGGCGGGCCCGGCCCTGGACGTGCTCAGGCCGCCCGGGCCGCCCGAAGCTCGGTGGCGCGCGAGCAGGTGGCGCGGCCACGCGGACGCGTTTGGTCCGAGAAGGCCACCGCCTGGAGGGTCAGTTTTCGGAGCCTCGGCAGGCGGTGGATATGGACATTTTCGGGCCCCCGGGGGCACCAGGACGTCGATTCCCAGGCGGTGGATATGGATCAATTCCCGCCTCGCATCTGGCATCCCCACGGGAGGTCTCCACTTACGGCGGGTCCGTGTCGTGGCGACCTTCGGCGTTGGTTTCTGACACCGCGTGGGTCCTTCCACGCTGAGCGATCGCGGCTTTCCCGTCGCGCAGGATCGCTCCGTAGGGGCCGCTTCCGGGCCACCAGCGGCGCTCGGTCTTGAACGCCCGCGCTGGAGCCGCTGCCGAGTCGACACGACACGGATCTGCCGTGCCAGACCGCCCCGACCCGACCCGGAGGCTCCAGACCCAAATTTCGGGTGGGGGGGCGTACGGGCTCCGTCGTGTTGATTCGCTATTCCGGAGTGCCCCGCACGGGAAGCAGACAGGCCCGATGGCGGCATCGGGCTGGGTTTGGGCGGCTTGGTTCACCAGGATGGCAGCCGAGGGTGAGGGTTGCACGGAGAAGTCCGGCTGGGTCAGAGCTGGGATCGACAATCGTTCCAGGGCGTTCCATAGCGCTCTGGAATGCCTGCGGCGCCCGACGCTTCCCCCTGCACCGCCGGATCTCAGAGATCCCCGACTTGTCCCGGTCCGACGGTCCTGGTCCTCTTTTCATTTAGAAGGACGTTGAGGAGGAGGAGGAGGAGGAGGAGGAGGAGGAGGAGGCGACAGCGCGGAGGAGACTGCGGCAAGACGAACGGTCGTCCCGGCCCCCAGCCCCGCACCCGCAGGGCAATGGCCCCAGGAATGAGTCCAGGCCCCTAGGGCGTCGCGCTGTGAGCAAAAAGATGGCGTCGGAGGTTTGGTGCCTCGGTCGGGGCGAAGTGGCGACAGGTTCGAGCGCGGGCGTTGACGCGGCGTGTGACCTAAGCTATGGCGTTCAAGGTTGAACGCTGATGGTGGCCCAGAATCGGCTGACATCAAACCATCTGTGCTATCCGAGAGCCGCGATCTTTTCATGTCGAGCGATCCACGCGATGTCGTCGTCATCGCGACGCGAACGTTAGGTTTCATGAGGATTAGGTTTCACACAAGATCCAACCATGCTGAATACATGTCCAGTTAAACGTAAGAGCATCGACGGCAAATCTGACACGTTGCTTCACTGGGCTTCACACAGAACTATTTACATACACGTTCTGGCCAGATGTTTCATTGACGTGGGTCGAAGTATGACCTTCATGTGTGATAAGTGGGAGTTGCAGTGACGAGCGATATTGGGCACAGGATGTGTTTTTTGCTAAGGGCGGTGTGTATATGTATATCCGTTAGGGCGTCGCCCCCTGCCGCCTGCTCCCTCTCTCTCAGAATGGGATATATCAGAGTCGCGTCGGTGCCTCTCGGCGCTGCCTTGGCGCATCTGGGAACATCATGCGGGGGCGGATAGGAATCATCAGCGCATCTTGAGACGTTGGCGTTATCCTAGTGGCCTTCGGCCCATCCCGCCATCGTGCCTGGGTTGTGGGTCTGAGGCCTCTTGTATCGGAGGTTGGGGGGTGAGATCGCAGTGGCACGAAGACCCCCAACTGGGAAATCGTGTCGTTTCGGTCGCGTCGTGAGTGCGGGCGAGGCGAAGCTGCGTGGGCGCGCGAGAGGAATGAACCGGCTGTTGTTAGAGCGAAGTCAAGACAAATGATTCTCCCCCTCCCGCCCGTCTGGCGGTGGCCCGCGGTGTCCCGCGGTGTCCCGTGGCGTGTCCCGTGGTGTCCCGTGGTGTCCGCCGTTGCTAGGGCGAAGTCAAGACAAATGATTCTCCCCCTCCCGCCCGTCCGGCGGTGGCTCGCGGTGTCCCGCGGTGTCCCGTGGTGTCCCGTGGTGTCCGCCGTTGTTAGGGCGAAGTCAAGACAAATGATTCTCCCCCTCCCGCCCGTCTGGCGGTGGCTCGCGGTGTCCCGCGGTGTCCCGTGGTGTCCCGTGGTGTCCCGTGGTGTCCCGCGGTGTCCGCCGTTGCTAGGGCGAGGTCAAGACAACTGATTCTCCCCCGCCCGCCTGTCCGTCCGTCCGGCGGTGGCTCGCGGTGTCCCTTGGTGTCCCGTGGTGTCCCGTGGTGTCCTGTGGTGTCCCGTTGAGTGAGATCGATGTTGAGATCGATACTGAGATCGATATTGAGATCGATACTGAGATTGAGGTGGTGCCCCGAGGTGTCCCTTGGTGTCCCAAAAAGTGCGATCAATAGTAAGATGGATAGTGAGATCGACAGGTGTCCGTTGGTGTCCCGTTGAGTGAGATCGATAGTGAGAGCGATACTGAGATCGATGTGGTGCTCCGAGGTGTCCCGTGGTGTCCCGTGGTGTTCTGTGGTGTCCCGTTGAGTACGATCGATGGTGACATCGATAGTGAGGTCGACAAGTGTTCCGTGGTGTCTCGTGGTGTCCCGTGGTGTCCCGTGGTGTCTAGCTGAGTGAGATCGATAGTGTGATCGATTGAGTCAGATGTTGGTTCCCCCCCCTCTCCCCCCCCACAACCTCCTTATCACCCGAAGGGTGGTCGCATAGGTATGTTTCGGGGTGTCGTGGGGAGCTTTTTCGGGGGCCTCTTGGAGGCGGTTTGGGCGCCTCTTGGGGGCCTCTCGGGGTCTCGTGAGGTATCTTTTGGGCATCTTGGAGGCCTCTTGGAGGCCTCTTGTGCGCGTCTTGAGCGCCTCTTGGGCCCTCCTGGGGCGTCGTGGCGGCCTCTTGGAGCCTCCATGGGGCGGCTCGGGGCACACATATATCGAATGTCCGGTTCGTGGTTTTCTGTTTGGGCCCCTCTTGGGGCCGTCTTTGGGCCCTCTTGAGCCGTCTCGAGCACTTGTTGGGCCATCTTGGAGCCGTGTCGGGGCTCTCTTGGAGGCGTCTCGGGCGGTCTTGGGAGCTTCTTCAGTCGTCTTGGAGTGTCGGAAAGCCGAAAATGCGAGAAGGCAAACATCCGTCCAACACCTTTTGTAAAATCTACGATGTTGGCCTCTTGGGGCTCTGTTGGAAAGCCCCTGAGAGCGCTCTTGGGCCCTCTTTGGGCTCTCTTGGGCCGTCTTGGAACCATCTTCGAGCGCCTTGCAGCACTCTTGGCCTCGGCTATACGACTTTAGCATTATTTGCAAAGGTGTATGGCTTCGGGGACGCGAACATTGCGGAATGTACCAGAGTGTGTTGCCTCGGGGAAATAAGGCTTGTGCAAATGACCATGGTTTGTGGCCTCGGGGACGCGAGCATCGAGTCATTTACAAGGGATGATGGCCTCGGGGGAGCGAATGCTATGTATTTCTACGTGTCCCACGCCCCCCCCCCCCCCATGACTTTAGAGAGCGCGATTCGGGCGTGGTAAATTGCTGGTTTGGGGCTCCCTCCCTTCCTTCGCGCGGATCTCAACAATGTACAGTAGGAAACAGAAAGCAGGACTGTAACATTGAAGACTTGAAGCTGCAACAGTTGCAGGGAGCAGCAAGCCTAAGACCTGCAGCCTGATGGCCCCGCACGGGGGCCAGCAGAGATATCAATAGATCTATTATGTATACACATATATAATGTAATTAGCGCCCTCCTGGGTTAGGAGGAGTGTGAGGAGGGAGGAGTAGGGAGAAGCCCGCCAGGGAGATGCAGCGGAGGGAGATCATTCCCGGGGCGGGCGTGTACGATAGCGTGATCGTAGCCCTGGAGCAGACCGCGAGCGAGGACAGGGGGAGCTTTGTTCCCGCCAGCCCAGCACCAGGGCTGCTGTCGGAGATGAGGGAGAGGCAGCTCATCCCGTCGCAGGCCGCGTATCATGCTGTCATGAGGACTCAGTGGGGGAAAAAGGTACCCATACGGCTACCCCTCCCTCGTTTTCCCTTTTGTGGGCTTCCTGGAAGGCCCTCGTCGCCACCGCTGCCTTCGCCTCGAAGTTCTGGTCAGAACGCAACCAGGTAGAAGTCCGGGGAGAGGCGGTGTCGGTACCTCTTGGGTTCCCCAAGGACGCACGAGATGGCTCGCGAGGAAGGCCCAGCGCTGGAGCTGCTGTCAGACATGCAGACGGTCCGCGTCAGCCGGGACACGCGCACGTACCGCTCCTTGATGACCGTGTGCGGGAAGGTTGGCAACTGGCGGAGGTCGCTGTCCCTGCTGGACGAGATGAGGGCGGACGGGCTATCGCCCAACGGCTTCATCTACGATGCAACCATCACCGCTTGCGCCTGTAAGGCCAAATGGGAGCACGCGCTGCGGCTGTTCTCTGAAGCACTCTCTCGCGCGTCAGAGTCGAAGGAGGACCCCTATTGGTTTAGCAGCACCACCATCCGCGTGGACAGTGACTGGGGTGGTAATGGTCAGTCGGCGCCGGAACGTTAACCTCTCAATCGTTTTCGAGGCGTGGGGGTATCGGTCTGGGGTCCGGTTGCCCCCCCCCCCTTAGGTAATGCGACTAAGTGATTAAGAAATGCCCCGTGGGGTCGCAGCGCCCCGCTGGGAAGTGGGCGATTAAAACGGTATTTCCGATTCGTTGTCGTCGCTGGTGACGAGAAAAATATGTTTGCCAATCGTTTCGGATCTCACTGTTTTTGAATTGCTTGGTCGCATGAGATGATCGCCCCCCTGGTCACCGCCCGCACGAACCATCGCGTGCGCGAGGGCTGGAAAGTGGAAGTGGGCGCTGTGGGTGCTGGGAGAGAGGACTCGCGGCGGGTTTCTGCCCAACGCCGTCCACTATTACTCGGCACTATTCGCGTGCAGGAAGAGCCACCAGTGGCGGTGGGCCCTATCCCTGCTAGAGCGCATGCCGGCGTTGTCTTTCACGCCTGCCCAGCAGGCGCTCGCCATGAAGCAAACGGGTCACGGGGAAACGGATGTTGGAGTTTGCTGCCGTTTTCGGGCTCTGGGGGGCCTCCACGGGTCCCAGGACTTTCGGAAAGCGACTCAGGATGAAGAATTGGTCTTTGGGAAAGCCCCAGGACACAGGACCCGTTTCCCTCGGGAACCGTTTCTTTCATGCAAAGCAGGCGTACACGATGGCAATCGAGGCTTGTGACTATTCTGGGGCGTGGGAGTGGTCCGTGGAGTTGTTGGGGGCCATGAAGGAGAATGATTTGCCTCCCAGCAGCTTCCCATACAGCAGTGTGGTGAGCGCCTGCGACCGCGATCACCAGTGGACGCGCGTACTTGAACTGTTCCAGGAGATGCAGGAGTACAAAGTCGAGCTCGATGCAGTCACCTACAGCTTGTGCATGGGAGCCGCCAGAAAGAAAATGGTTTCCCTCGTGGATGCTGCCAGGACAACGCACAGCAAGCCGAGGCCGCGCGTTTCACCCAAGCGGCGAATTCTGTAAGCAGGTGCTCGTTTCTTTGAGAGCGCCTCAGTTTGTTTCAATATACCGTCGGCCTCGCGCGATGGCAACAACGCTGAGGTTGTGACGGATCTCCCGTCGGGTCGCCGTGGGCATTTGCCGGATCGATCGGTCCCAGGCGGTTTCTTGTGGACTGCTCAGCGTCTAGATTGTAGTAGCGTGTCTATCTGCCTTCGGCAAACGCCGCAATCGTGCCGTCGCAGCATCGGGTTTGCACACATGATGGTTCTATTGAGCTCTGTCTAGTAGGCTCCGTTGAACAGGCTCCAAGCTCTCTCTAACAGGCTCCGTGCGGGGAGCAGCGCC